CAGTAGATCTATCTATAATGACTGTAGCTAAAAGCAGAAGTGCCCTCGTGAGCACTCAGCTAATGCCAGCAAAGGCTTCACGGAGTCAGCCCTCTGCACCCAAAACTATAGTAGTATTTTCTGTCACTGATACAGATTTTAAGTTTTATGGGTAGTAATAATACAAATATTAACACCAGCCTAGCATGGTGGGCTTTCCACTGTTCCACAGAAATTGCCAGGTTCCTGTGAGCACATCCAGAGCTGTTACCACACACGCAGATAAAAACTTGCAGTGAACACAGTGAGGAGAATGATGGGGCACACCTTGCTTTATTGCTTTAGCCACTAACCACCACCACTTGAGATTTCCTAAGGCTGCCAAGTACTCTTCTTACCTGCAAAAAGACTGGAAACTCTATGATCAGCTGCAGTCACATGACTTCTATCATCCTTTCCTCCCCTGTGGCTTCTCTTAGGACAGAAACCTTCAGTACTCTTTCCTAGTAACCCCACAAACCCCTAAATCCACAGGAGCAGTTCTGGCTGCACTATTAAAAGCTAAGAACATAAACATTTAGAGAGAAGCAACTCATTCAAAAAAAAGGTAGTTTTCTACAAGTATGTAGTTCATTAACCAGAACTGAAGTATTTTGACACTGAAACTATTGATAACTGAGACAGCTCAAAATACTGCTTACAAGGGTACAGGTAATGTGGCTCTACACTCTACATGAATCCTAGTTTCAGTGTAAACATGTACTGCAAGTATAATTAATATTTCTGAAATACAGGATCATCTGCCCATAATAACTAGCTTAATATAATATTCTCTTGCCAAGTCCCTTCAACCTGTATTTACATAAATTATCTGCTTTTGACAGATGTGTCTTTTTCATAAACTCTCTATTTTTTCACTCACAAATAAGGTGCTTAGTGATTTGATTTTTCCTGTGCCCCCTAACGCTGTGGTATAAATCTTGAATCACCAGCTGGAGACTAAAAGCTCTTCTGTATGGCTTGACAACACAGATTGATGATGCCTGATCAAAGAGACAGAAGGAGATCCTTCTGGTGATAGAAAAAGACTATACTTCCCAGCAGGAATAAAAAGTGGAAACAAAAGGCTTAATAGACCAACATGAGAAGACATGTATAATGACATAAGTGATTTAAAAAACTGACCTATATCAAAGCAGAACGACTGTACAACCAATAATCTGTATTCATTCTAAAACAACTGAGCATAAAAGCTGCAATTTATATGTACAAACAGCAACTAAAAGAATACTCCCCCAAAACATTTCTTAATTATAGGATATCCTAAAATTTCTTCTGTTAGCAGACAAAACATGAAACAAAATATTAATTGTAAAAGGTACCATAGAGAATAAAATTATAATGAATGAAATTATAAGTATGTGCTGAAGGAAAGATTCATGCATCCTGGAGTGTCCACATTCCTATCTATAAGAAACATTTGGGCAAGAAAACTCCAAAGGAAGATAAAGTGTAGGCAAGTGCATGTATATTTTTAATACAATGAAAGGTATGCAGACATAAAAAAGAGCTTTTGGTCTGAAAATCAGCTTCTTCATAAAGAATTACAGTTACAGAGTTGGCTTCTTCCTATTGAAAAAAAGAGTTATCAAGCTAGAGCAATAATTCAAAAGTTGCTTTGTCTTACCCAAAAGGATCACCAACTACAAGAAAAGCGACATCACAAACATCAGCTTCTTTTAAAAGGGTATCTGCTTCTTGCTCCACCATTTCTCGGTCGGCCAAAATCAATTCTTTTCCATAAAACTCTTCCTAGAAATTGAAATTAATATTAAGCATCAGAATAATACAGTTAGGAGTGGTTTTGTATCTCTCTGGGTGCTCACTCAGGAACACGGACAATGGACACTGGAATAACTAACTTTAATAATCTCCTCAGCAGTCTGCCCCAGGTCTTGGAGAACCTCAGCCCAACTTGGAAGAATGCCTGAGCTTCCCATAAAGCAGCTCCTGAGCTGATAAAAATCAGTCAAGCACTTTATTCTGATACTGACTTCTTTTTTTTTATGCCTTCTGTGTCAGCTGAGAAGCTGCCCCGCAAGTAGCTCAGTCACACCTGCATTCTGAAGGTACCTGGCCGGGCTCTTGGTACAGTTAATTTAACCGGCCATCGTACTGTCAGGCATCCCCCCTCACAGTCTGAGCCTAACTGCTTAGCTTAGTTATAATTCTGACGTCAAACCAGATACAAGCACCACACTAGCTATACCACAACCTGTTTTTTCAGATTTTTCCTTAGAACATTTAAACAAACCACATCTAAGGAATGATTTCATATTAATCCTTCGCCTTCAGAGTTCTCTTTAAGAAATACTTTACCACGTATACAGGTGAAGATGCATTTGCTTTTCCTCAGAAGCTCAGTAATCATTGTGTCTCTTTGTACGTTTTAAGTGCCTTTATTTCCTGAATCGACTTCACATATGTAATGAAACTTCAGTTAGTTCTAGAACATATCGTCTGACCATACTGAACACATCTGTCTCTAAGTCGTGTGTCACCATCATTTCACATCCTCTTTACATTTTAAGGTATATTTTCAAAGGCAAAGACCAGAAAAGGTGTTTTTGTTATAAGTAGTATACAGAAAATTTGGATGGAATTACAAATATTAACCAATATAAATAAAGAATTGATAAAACTATTAAGTCAGTTATGGTCCAGAAAGATTTTTTTATGACTTCTGTGACTGTGCCCACAAAGGACAGTGAACTGATGAACCATCATACTTGTACAGAAGTGGAACAGTGCTTCCATAAAAAAATCCATCCCATAGCCAGAGTACTAGGTATGGGTCTCTATAAAGCAAAGCCCTCGGTAACAACATCACATCCATTTGGGTGGGCTTATCATTGCACCAGGCTGCAGACTTTAGTCCAATGCTGTAAACAAATGCACACTACAGAACATATTGGGTGCAGTCCCAGGAGCACACCTTTGTTTGTTTTCATCCAAGGGAATCTATTTGCATGCTTTGAGACTACTCCACAATGCTAATCAAAGCATGCTAATTAGAGAATATATAGAAAACACCCTCCTGACAATGTAGTCTCACTGGGAGGCCACTGGGTCCACACAGTTCTTTCACCAAACTAAGGGCCAATTTAGATGGTCAACATCAAATAGCTTTAAATACATGTTTTAGGCCAACAAGATAAACTAAGCAAGTCATGTCACTTGAATTTTGAGGCCTGATTTTAAAAGCATCAGTACAGGAGGATTTCTAGAAAATCTCTGCAGGAAAGGATCTGTTCTTTACTTTTTGAGAGCTTTCCCATAACTTTTCATGCTGCTTAGGAGAGACTGACCTTCAGATCACTAAATAAACCATCCAGCATTGTCACTTGTATGTAACCTGGGCTGTATTATAAACACTTGGTGATTAATTCCTGTATTTCCTCTTAGGTGGTTTCAGATAAGGTATCTTTTACTTTGTTTTTATGGATCACTTTTCCCAGTTATCTCATCTTTGGGACTTCAAGGTTTGCAAAAGACTTAAAAGAATAAAAAAATGTAACAAAAGCCCCCAAAACCCAACAAAATAACCACACCAAAATATTCAGCATTTCTCTATTATTCAATGTTTTATTTTCAGATGGCTAGGAATCCTTTTTTTTTTTTGATAGAAAATGCAAATTTTGTGAAGTAAAAATATCCAAGTAATCCTTTCCATTTAGCAATTTTCCAACTATCAAACAACAAAGAAGATTTTGTTTTAATGGATTAACTACAATTTAGATTGCTTCAGTGTACTGAAAAGAAACATAAAAACACACAGCATATCTTTATTCCAAAATCCATCAGATAAACCAGAGATGGCCTCAAATATTCTAGCCTACCTTGTATCCAGAAACCATGTAATGCTGACTACAAGCTAAAAGTCTCACATGCTGTATGTATATATAGGTATGCATACAGGTACATTATGGCACCCAAGACCCAAACAGCCTCTCTGTACAGTACTGCACAGCTTCCTGGGAGGAGACACCCCTGTTTTGTGGGCAGGTATGGTCTTTTGTTGATATTATTTTGACATTAAACTTTATCTTTCTGTGACCATCTATGAACCCACCAGAGTTACAATTTGTACATTTGACTACTGTCGTCTTCCATAAGGTTTGTTTATCTCCATGTTGTTCAACAGCCCATCTCTGACTGAACTGTGCCTGTTCTGGGAGTCTCAACCTGGTGAGACAGCTTGGCCCACGCAGAAACATGGAAACGTGAGACAGTCAACCTGTTATTCCCAGCAGGCAAGCCACAACGCCTCAGGCTGATATTGAGGCCCAGGGCTTCAAAACGTGTGTTATTCTGGTACGTCTTTTGTGCTTTTTTGTTTTTAAACAGATCAGACATTTTTCTAACCACGTTCTCCAGTATTTCACGATCTGCACACATTGGGAGAATTTGAGATGAAAACCAGTACAAAGAGTTGAAGGAAGGAACATTTTATTTTTGCTGCAGTCTTCTCGCAAGGTAGCAAAGCAACATCTCCTATAAAACCTAGTGTGTGAGGGTCAGGTACATCTTCCTCCCCGCTGACCCCCCAGGCCCAGCGCCCGCCTCGCCCCGCGGTCCGAGAGGCCTCGGGCCTCGTGGCCGGACCTACCAGCGCTTCCTTGCCCACCGTGAGCACCGACGTGTAGGCCTCCAGGTACACCCTGCGGCACCGCCTCACCGCCTCCAGCCCCTTCACCGTGATGTCCTTGGCATCGCCCAGGCCCAGCCCGACCAGGTACAGCATGTTCAGGGGGCCGGGCAGAGCCGCCACCTGCCACGGGAGGCAAAGAGAACAGGGATCAGCCGGGGCACCCCATGGGCGGGGGGACGACCCAGCTCCCACCTCCTCATATCTCCTATCCTGGCCCCCAGCTCCGCACTCCCGGCTCCCACCTCCGCACTCCCACCTCCTCGTGTCCCGGCCGCCCCTCCGCGCTCCCGCCTCCCCCCTGGCTCCCGGCTATCCCCGGCGCGGGCGCAGGGGCCGCCGGGAGCTGTAGTCCCGGGCCATGGCAGCGGCGGGCAGGCCCAGGCCAGGCGGCGGTCGTACGGTGCCGCTCGCCAGCGGCCGCAGCATCCCGGTGCTGGGGCTCGGTAAGTGGCGGCGGGCCCGGCCGAACCCGCCTCCCTACCAGGGGCGTTGTGAGCGGGCGGGGGTCACCGCGGGGCCCGGCCGGCCCGGCAGGTTCGGCGCTGCCCTTGGCCCGCAGCTGGGCTCGCCTCGGGGCAGCCCGGGCTGAGCCTCCTGCCGAGCTGCCCGTGCCGAGCCGGGCAGGCCCGGTGCTCCTCCGAAAGCCCTTTTATTGCCCGGTGGAGCTTCGTGCTCCTGCTGAATGGGAGCAGCAAGGCGTGCTGGGACACGGGTGCTGTGCTGCGGGGACAGCAGCCCTCCCCTCCCCTCCCGCCTGCTCCGGGGCGTTGTGCCGCGGTTTGGTGTTTTGGGTGTGTTTTCTTACGAGGTTTGGGAGCAGACTTTTCTTTAGTGCAGTCATTCAAGCCAGGGTTAATCTTACTGCACCTGTTGCAGCTGAGAAACAGCGTAGGAATCTCGACTCATGAGAGGCACAGAGCCTGTGCCTTGTGGTTGTAGCAGCACTTGGCCTGTGTGTGCTGAAGAATTAAAATGCTGTTAAACCCTGGCAGTGTATCAGAATATGGGGTGTGATTATTTTTACTTTTTATTATTATTTCTTTTCCTTATTGCAAACTAAGGTTTGATGACATTATACTGAAACTTAACAAATGTGTGGTTTTGGTTGTTGCTCATGCAAATGTGTATGACATTTTTAATATTTTTTTAGGAGAAAAAATATGCCTGGAAATATGAAAATACAAAAGAGAATTAACTTATTTATAATTTACATCTAATTTTATCATCAGTTGTTTAGTGAGAAATTCTTCAAGAATTCATTTTCTGAAATGTAAACATGGGGAAAAAATGAAAAGTCATTTTAATACCACGTTAGTTGTCTGAATTAACGCTAGTTCAGGAAAGCTATTGCATTTAGTCCTAGGAAAAGAAGGCTATGTGCTAACCAGAATACAATCCTGCAATGAGAACTTAGGTATGAAAACATTCGAAATTTGAAAGTTGGGGTTTTTTCTCTTCCCTCCCCCACCCCCTCAACAAGCAAAATGTGGTATAAACCCAAGGTTGGCTTGCAGCAGAATGCTCCTTTTAGTTGTATATAGGAATGTCAGGTTTATACTATCCTGAATTACAAATTCATCTAATTAGTAGATTTGCTAATTGTTCAAAAGAGTCAAACTATTAAATTTTCCAAGTCAGCATAGGGCCATGTGAGCAGGGGAGGGTTAATAACTAATTCTGTGGTGCCAGAGCCCTGCCCATGCTGTAGCACAGCAGATAAAGAGACTGTGAACTCTCCCAAAACAGGAGCTGTAGCAGAGTGCCTGGAAGGTGTGCCACAGAGAGGCAAACATGGACCATTCACACACCAATGACCATTGCACACTTGGCCAGAGCATTCTGTGTTTCTTTGAATAACTGTCTTTTTATATAGTTGACATTAATTTTTATGTCTTGTGAGGAGTTAATTTATCTCTTGGTTAAAACCTCCTATTTGGAACAGTATTTGAGCCTCTCTTTCTTTCTCTTCTTAAGACTCTATCCAGAAGTCTCTTTGATTCATAACATATTCTAAAACATGAATACCCTTCCAAGTTAGTCTTTCATGATGCCATTTTATCATGGGTAAATTCAGTATCCCAGATTTTCCAGTTTTTTACATAAACATACAAATCAAAGGCACTGGTGTTCTTTGTGACACTGGAGTTAATCAGTCACACAAGTGTGGAGCTAAGCTATAAAATAGAATTGCCCTTCTGCTCTTTTTGTCTTTATCCTATGGATGTGAACTGACTTCAGAGCAATTATTTAGGATTTTCATTAGTATGAAGGAAGGCAAAATTAGAGCTGTGGATTTTGGAGTGAATTAAGCCACTTAAGTCAATAGGAGTTGGTCTTTGATTTTAATAGGGCTGGGTTTTTATCCAGAAAGGCTAAGCAGATAAAGCTTGTAATGCTCGTTTCGAAGTACCCAAAGTTATTTGAGCTGCACATAACAAAACGTCTGAGCAATTCACCATCATCAGCCAAAGATGAAAAAAAGAAAAGAATTTGGAAGTCTGCAAAATGTTGTTAACTGCTTTTACTGTGTGTTTTTGTGCATGCATAAACACGTGCTATGTGTTTACCCAGTGTATGAATTTAATATTTTAGTATCTGTTAATCTTAAGAATACTTGATGCAGCTGTCCCTTACACAGTCATTATGTAGTGAGCAAAAGGGCCTGTGTTGTTCAAAATTGCTGTTTTTTTCATTTTACTGTTTGGTTGGTTGGTTGGGTTTTTTTGAGGAGTTGTTTGGTTGCTTCTTTTAACCCGTAACACTTTTTGCCACTTTAGTTCACTTGGGGATTTTTTACAAAATTAAAGAAAACATAAATAGTAGAGAATGGACTTGGTTCTTTTCTGTCCATTGTTTCAGTATATGCTGAATGGTGTTTCAGACTATATACAGAATAGATTCTTTTTTTTTTGTTGGAGGTTGTGATATTTCTTAGGTTATGGGAAGAATAAACTGAGTAGAAAGTAGCCAGGCAGAAAGACTCCTTTGTACTCTGCACGCAAAAGCTGCTGCTCTCTGTCCTTTCGCCGTCTTGGTAAGCCCTGAGTTGTCTGTTGTTAGGCCTGAATTCAAACTGCAGTAAATGGATAGTGGCATACAAGAGAATCAAGTCTGAATTTTTCTGACCCAGTAATTTCTGTCAGATATGGCTTTGAAGGAGCTGCTCTTGACTTACAGTGGTGGTGGTGTCATGACCAGCAGGATTTGATTCCTTGACTTCACCTATGTATTCTTGTCTTGCTGTGGTAACACTTGTCATATTGCTTTATATATTCTGCAGATCTTGGAGGATCTTGTAATAGATAGGAATCAAACAGGTCGTTTTAAGAAATCCTTATACATGCTTCAAAACACTGAGAATTTTAGAAAAGAAGGGAGGAAAACAAGTTAAAGATTCGCCACCCTCGCATTTGTGGTCAAGCTATAAGTACCATGATATGCAGCCTAATATAATGGGATCTTTAAGTGGGTGTTCTCACTTCACTATTATTTTCCATAATAATGATTTATTTTTGTTCCAAGCTTACTGATTAATGTTTACAGCGCAGAAACTTGGCTACAAAGTAGAGAAGAACTTTATTCATATAGAATGCGTTTTCTGCAAGGCTGTTTTCTGCAGGATTTGAAATTTGTTTGGTTGTCGTTTCTTATCCCTCTAAACATGCAGACATAATTGTTATGTGTTCCCTCAAGGACAACTTTCATAGATATGTATGTTGCCTCCATTGCTAGATCATCTTTCTAAAAGTTTCAGAGAGAGAAATATGCTGTTAAGATGGTTTCAGCTATCTGGTTGTGTCGACTGAAAGGCAGCTCAGACAGGTATGCAAGTTATTTCCAAGTGATGAATCCCCTTTTGTAGTAGCTGGGAGCTGAAGTAGGGGACAGGTAACATGCTTCTTGGCCAGAACATGTTACTCAAGAGAGTGCAACAGCAGCCTAGGATGGCATTCTGCCAAAAATACCTGTTCTTTCTGTTCAAGCTTCAGTTATCAAAAGGTGTTTGTGGTGGTGTTTTTTTAGTTGGGTTTCCTTTTTTTAAATGGCTTTCCATGTCACAGCTGCTTTGGCTTCCAGATTTGTGTAGGAGAAGTTCAGTAAGTTGGTCATGGTTTGATGCAGAAGGGGAGACGAGAGGAAGGAGGTTAAGTGGTCTTTCAGTAGGTTACTGTTCTCTTTCTGGGGCTCTGCGCTCTCTTACATAAACTGTTCTTACTGAGGAGGATCCATTTCCATTGAAATCTCCTATGAGAAAGATGAATTTTTACTTCAGAGAAGGCCATGGAGCATGCAAAAGTTATGTTCTGTCTGAAGGGTTACTTGGAATAACATGCCGAATTCTGTATATCCAAAATTCCATATTTACTTTGATGCATATTCATATTGTGTCTTATCTGTCTTGTGTCCAGCAGAAAGACAAGTCTACTAGCAATGATAAAACAAGCTGACTTTCCTGAGATACCAAACAATTATGAGACAACCCACCTTTGTGTTAGAAATATGTTGTATAGCTAAAGTTTTAATTAAAAAATAAAAATAATCTGCATCTTGTTTATTGCATGGTTATAAAAACTGTTGATAAGTTTGTTTCTCATGGTTTAATTCTAAACATTTGCGTTAGCCCATATTATTCATGTGCAGAGAGTCAGGCAAGTTTATGGTCAATTTTCATTACAAAGGCTACTTTAAACTGGGGTAGGCACAAGCCTAAAATGAATTGGCATTTTGGCCCTAATATTTGTATGGTGTCAAACTATGCCCCAGAGAGTACATTAGCTCATAATGGCTTTAGATTGCTTTAGTAAAAGGATGTATTCACTATCTTGCTAATAAGATAGCTATGATTTCTTTCCATATTTTTAAGGCTTTATTAGTGTTTTAGAAATATAGGCAAATAACTGATATAAAATGTGACGCTGCTTTGAAGTTGATGTAGTTACACTTTTTCATAGGAGCTACATGTATCTTAGAATCAGGTACTTGGCGAGCCTTTGTACAATAGTAGAAAACTACATATTCTTACATTGTCTTAACTGCAGGATACTTGGTGCTTCTCTAAAGCAGTGTCCTCAAAAATGGTGCTCACAGTATCATCCCCATCAGGCTTTGGAAAAAAATGAATACAATTTGAATTGTTCACGCTTACATGCTTACTGCTGCTAAGCAGGAAGCCCCCACTTAGAAAGTTGTCCCTTTTTTTTTTTTTTTTTGTTAAAAGTCTGAGGGTTGAAAATGCTACCATTTAAAGAATTTGATTATAATTCAGTAGCACAAGGGCTTTTCTTCCTGTAACTGAAATATTAGGAAGCTTTTTCAAGGTCATATGCTGAGTGGTTGATGTCTCTTAAGGCTTGTTTAGGCACTTTTTTTCTGAAACTCTCTTCGTGCCCTTGGTATGGTAGTTATATTCCCATTAGAAGAGGGGTTTTTTGGTGTGTTTTTG